TATCTCGATTCGTTTTGCCTGTTACAAACAACCGTTATGTGAACAAAGTTATAATACCCTTGTGCACAAGTGCGCTCGGGTATAAAAATAGGCAATCGTCCATCTCATTCGAAAAGCAGAAACCAGATTTCGAGGAAAATGAACATTAAAAAAATTTTTTTTTTATTTTTTTATTACTTTTGCAAGTTGAGCGCATCTTGTGTTTATAGAACTTTATATTAAACAAGTAATTTCAAATTACGGGAAGACCCTTGAGGTACCATCTTTCCGATAAAAAAAAGAATTATTGAAATCGGTTCACGTGGTCCAAAGTTATGCGTTAGCATACTATTCCGACGAATTGATAACCTACCCCTTTTTCGAAGTCGGTTACAAATGTTAAAGTTTTTTGCTAATTTTATGTAAATAAATTCAATTTATGAAACTTCAAAAAGTTTATTTATTTATTACATACTGTACATAAAACTTGCATAAATGTACTTTAATGATCATTTTATCTGAAGCGAATTTTCAGAAGTATAAACCCCTCCCAAAATATATTCCTGGGTGCGCCCCTGATAGCGACCACTTCTGATTTATGAGCATGAAGGCAAAAAACTTTTGCTGGACTCTCTGTTACAAATCTCTCTCAGATGTAAAAGCAATAGGATGGCAATTACAAGTTTCCGACGCACATACTATGTTATGTAATGTGTCGCAACTATGGGTCTTTTTTCATATTTTCACCGATACCTCAGAAACTAGGTCCAACCCAGAGAAACCATTAAGATATTCGAAATTAGGATAAAATTCTAGGTTAGAAAAGTTTTATTTCATTCTTAGTGATTTTTTTTCGAGTAGTGTAATTATTATCATTGAGCGACAAGTTCAAAATCATAAAGTAATCATTATTTTTGATCGAAAAAATTAATTATTAATTATAAATTATTAGTTTTAATTTTTATTGGTTAAATTCAAAATATATTAATTTATGAAACCTGCAACAGAATACATAAAGAAAAGTCTGTTTGTCCAGTAGAGAGTTTTTGCGGCGCTTAGAACATGTTAATTTTTTAATAAAAATTAAAAAAATAATGATTATTTTCCAGCCTACTATTTACAAGCTCTTGGTCGCATCATAAGTACACTCGTATAACTTGTTACATATTATACACGTAGCTATTAACTAAACACAACATTTATTTTTTATTGTCATGAATAATAAACGAATTTATCAAAGACTCTTAATACAAGTACTCATAAGAAGGGACCGTAACAGTTCTAAGTTATACAGTAAAAACGTTTTTTTTAGATATTAGGCTTAAATTTGTATTTTACGTTTAAAAAATAATACTTTCGTCATGAGTTTTATTTTTCGTTTACAAAATAAATTTCATCTATCTGATGAGTTTTATTTTTCGTTCAAGAAATTAAACTTACTTGGTAATTTTTATTTTTCGTTCAAAATTTAAAAGCTCAAATTTATTTGTATAACGAAAAATGTATTACATTAGAGTTCTTGGCTTTTCTCTCATATGATAATCTTAAGTACTATACTTGAATATAATATATAATTAAAACATGAACACGAATTCTTTTCTGTTGCAACTGAGGACATCTTATACACAAAGACTTTTCGTCCGATTTAAAAAACTTTTAACATGGTGCTTAAGGAAGTCGAGATCGGTGAAGTAATTTTTGAGATAAATATATATGATATAAGTGGGCGGTGCCACACCCATTTTCCATCGTATATATAAATTTTTAGTAAATATTGATGAATTCCTTGGCCCCACTGCTCAAAAAATCTGAACGTCCGGAACATACACATTTATAAATTCAAAGACATATTTCTACTGAAATTACTTAACTTCGTTGATTTTTATCCTATGTCATTGAGTCAGGTCGGCCGCTGCGGTGTAGTGGTAAGCAGTGCGCGCTCCCACTCCGCAACCCCTGGGTTCAAGCCCTGGTCAAAGCAACATCGCAAAAAATATAGAAAAAAGTTTTTTTCTTAAAAGCGGTCGCCCCTCGGCAAGCCAATGGCAAACCTCCGAGTGTATTTCTGCCATGAAAAACAGCTTCTCATAAAAATACAATCGCCGTTCGGAGTCGGCGTAAAACTGTAGGTCCATCCGGTTTGTGTGACAACATCAAGGCGCACGCCACAAATCGGAGGAGGAGAAGTCAGCCAAACACTAACATATGTGTAAGCGCCAATCTATTATTATTATCATTGAGTCAGGTATCACTTTGTTTGAAAATAAATTTTCTTTTAGATACTACATATTTGGCCACATTTATAGAAATTTTTTAAATTAGCGATGGCCAAAGTTGAAAAAATAAGATGAAAACTCCCAACATGTTTGACAATATATTTTTATACATAATTTTAAAGGTCTTTAAATCTTCTTTTGTCACTTTTTTTAAATCGGATGAAAAATAATCAAGCTGTTAATAGATAAGCGGGTTAAGTACGGAAATAACGGTGTTTCAGTCAAAAAAATTTTGGGTTCAGGAACTATACTAAATCTATTTTCATATTGTACTCGACCCCACATACAATATACACTAAGTTTTCTTTCGGGTTGATTTCGTGATTTTTTTTTTCATAGCGCCGTGTTATTATCGTAGTTAGCAACCCACAAAACCCCAGGTTTGTAATTTTTGTTGAGATTAAGTGATGTTTTTAATATACAGTCCGCCATATTGGATTCGCCATTTTGAACTTTTTAAATCTGGCATCAAATTTGTAATTAGCGACCCGAAAACCCTACAAGTAAGCAGTTTCAACTTGGTCTGAATTTACTTTGATTTTGGGCCAGCTTTTTTGCTATATGGAACCACTGTTAGGCATGAGAACCGCATTTGAAAGGCTAGGTGTGCTAAGTGGTAAGTCCGACCCCGTTCGGAGAAAAGTGGCTGCTGCAGCTGTCGGTTCCCCGGCCAATAAACACAGAAGAAACGGAGGAAGTCAATATGGACGTCCGCAACCCGTAGAAAAAGGGCCGATAGGGGAATTTACGACCCCAGCGCAAGTAAATAAAGACAGCGAGTGGATCGAGGTCAAAAAGAAGGAAAAAAGGCCCAAACCGAATAATATTACCAACACAGGAAAACTGAGGCCAGACACAATCATCATAGAGAAAGAAGAGGAAAGTTCGTATGTCGACATCCTAAAAAAGGTTACTGTAGGATGGTTTTGGTCATGAAAAAGTTATCCCAAGAAAAATTTAGAATTATAAATAATATTTGACTAAAATAATAATTGCATAATAGGAATTCAAAGAAAAAATTGGACGGAAAAGGCCTTTTAGTTAAAATTTTATCCACGAACATCTTGCGTGTTATTTTATTCTTTGACACTTACCTTCTTTAAAAAAAAAAACTTTGTACCTATGCACTTGTACTTGCCAAATCTATAGTTTAAGGGTTTTTGGTATTAAATTAATTTTACAATTGAAAAGAAAAAAATTTGCTTTGGTAAATGAGATATTTAATATATGTATATTCATTAGACCGTACCCCTGAGTCCAAAGCGGTGGTGGCAACCGGTCTGTCCTCGGACAAAGGTCTTTCAAGCTTTGTACACATTTAGTATAGAAATCTTCAAAGAGCTTTGCCCGCGAGAAACCTGATGCCCAAAACATGTGTACAATACTTTTGCAAAGCAATTTCGAAAAAAAATTTTGTTTTGTTGTTTGAACCAAGGGGTCGCATTTTCAAATTTTTCATCCTTTTCGGCATTTACAGTCGGATCTTAAAGCGGGGTATATATGTAGATGTTTTTGCCTCGAGGAGGCAATTTTTTTGTTCCAAATTTAATCGAGAAATTGCAATATGTGGCAAATACTCTAACGTTAATATGGCTTTCAAAGGCAGTTTTAAGGGCGATTATTGGAGCCAAAAGTTGCTTTCAACTAAAAGTTGCCTAAAAAATCGCGCCATGTAAACACCGTACAAAGGGGTATAATAAAAGCAATCCGCTTAAGAAATTACAAACATATGTACATTATAAACATATGCATGCATTCAAAAGTATATATTTATTTTGAGTATTAAATGTGAGGCCGCGATACCTCTATGTATAAGATGTCCTCTGTACCAACATAAAAGTATTCGTATTCAAGTATTCTTAATTAGATATGATATTCAAGTATAGTACTTAAGATTATCATGTGAGAGAAAAGCCAAGAACTCTAATGTAATCCATTTTTCTTTATACAAATAAATTTCAGGGCTTGGGTTTTATTTTGTGGAAGAAATATAAAACTCACAAAATAACTTTTAATTTTTGAACGAAAAATATAAATCACCAGGTAATTTTTATTTCTCGAACGAAAAATAAAACTCATCAGATAACAATTAATCTGTGAACGTAAAATAAAAATTATTAAATAAAGGTTTATGCTTATCAACGTAGATTGTTGAACAACGATAAATTTTATATAACACATTATATGTTTTTGACGTTTCCTTCACAATAGTTTTTAAGATACAATTTTGAATCAAGAACAGTTTTGGTCATTTGGTCCCTGCTCATAAGTACTAACGTATAAAATACTCATCTGTGGTGTCAGGTATATAAATGATAACTCCATTTTATTTGTTAGATAAGTGCTATTGCATTGTAATTGAAATATTAGGAACTTCGGGGAATATAAGATTGGCACTTTATAACCAGGTGTTAGAATGTTGTAGGAAGCTACTGCAAGAATAATTTTTGACTTCTAAACACACATTTATTTAAACCACAATAAAACCACAAATATTAAAATCGAAGTTCTCATTTAAACCTGATCATATACACCTGAAACCACAATTATGTATACCTAAGTACAAGCTAAAATCTATGTAACAAATATTTCCTGCTTAAATTGAGCCAAAAAACATTCTTGCTCAGTGAACAGAGGAACTGATCCGATTAAAATATATTTAGTTTTAGTGGTTTCAAATATTTTATATCTGAAATTTCTTTACGGAATGCAATAATGCGTCCATACACAACTTACGTATATACTTATAATCTTTCTGGGATATGCTTATTGTTATTAGGTGCCGTCGAAGCGCTGAGAGATTGTGTCAAAAATACATAATTTTAGTCTCTACTTTTATACACCAATAATTTAAATTTTTTGTCGTTTTTTTTCACAGTACAGTTCTAATATTTGTTGTTCACCATTGAAGGCTTATATTTAATTAAGTCTTTTTTTTGACATCGCACTTAGATTGTCACCGGCGTTGCTGGCTGCTGGTGCATATGTTGATGATAGCGCGCCGGCCACTGATGCACGTGCAGATGTGGCGGATGATGTGTGGATGCCGCTGCAGCCTGTTGTCCTCCGATAGTTGGTTGACGTCAAAGGTAGAACTCTGGCGAATTTTGGCTATCAGTGTTCAAATGCGATTGCCCTACGGTGATCACTCCAGAGTTACCGCATTCCGCGGTGGCATTAGATATCGCGGCAATTACACTGCTCCCACTACCGCCTGATCGTATTTGCAAACGTTGTTTCAGCTGATCGCGCTCTTGGCATACACGTGAAAACTCTAATTTTAGACGATGCAGATCCTGATTCAACTGCCGGTTAGTTTTCTCCAGCTCATGTCGTTGTTGCAAACGTTTTGAGCGGCAGTTCTGGGCGTAACCACGGTTTTTAAGCGTGCGTCTCTTTGCCTTCAGCCGCACAACTTCTTCGCGGGGACACCCATGTAGCCGTTTGTTCAGTTCCCGTACGGTGAGTGTGGTTAGAAGCTCATCGTTAATACAGTCTTCAAGACCTAAATTACTAGACGTGCTATATTGCCGTGAACATGTGCGCGGCGAATTAGTGGATGACCGTGTAGAGCTCACAGACATTGGCCTATTGATATGAACCACTGGTGCGCTTGGTGGCGCTTGACTGCCATTACCACTACTTCCAAAGCCTGCTGTGCCGCTGGTCATGCTGCTATGGTAGGATGTGTGCATATTTATGGGTGCTAAGTGTTCGAGCGTTTGAAAATGATGGTGATGAGCATGAAGTTGTGATTGCGCCACCGAATGTCCGTGATGATGATTGGCGGCAACTACAGCAGCAGAGGCATGCATATATTCGCGTTGACGTTCCCACTCCTCTTCCTGCGTGGGACAAGCGAGAGGTCGCAGGTCAAGCGGTTGTGGATCCGAGCGCATGGAGTTTGGTAGCCACATCATTTCTTGGGTAAGACCAGTGCTAGCAGTGGGTGGGCGATGGGTTGGGTACGGAACACTTGTAATCGTGGCATAGGTATGGCCACATGTGCTTCCGGTAGGTGAACTAACGACTGGCGGGGTTTCGGGTGGAGTGGAGGGAACTCCCCCGGGCACGGATGTATTCACAAGAATTGCCTGTCCAGCCATAGGACCATGTGTACAGATTTCCGGTGGTGGTGACAAAGGCTGTAGACGACGCTCATCCATGTGCCAACTCTGATGAAAGGCGCGCATCTTGATGGCAGGATGGTCAGCGGGTTCCTGTTCATCTGGAGTAATCGAGGTCGTTGTCCAAGCGATTTTCGCCCCCGCCGCCGGACTGTGGTCTTCACGTTTCACTCCTATAGTTGAAACAGTAGCAGAACCATCCTCAAGATGATCAAGCACAAATTCCTGCACGTACTGCTCAGCGAGGTTAGGATCTTCCATTCTCATTTAGAGGCAATGGGTTTTTACACTTTCTGTTAGAAGAGGATATGTTTTTAAAGCAAACACACTTTAAGATTTTGAGTAAATTAATATAATAAATATTTATAGAGATTATGTATGCACAGCTTTGATTTTACTACGTTAATAGATATAGTTATCGATTTCGAGTTTTTTAAATAATTAGCTTTTTTACATTCATTATTTTTAAACACTGTCTACTCATTATTTTAACGGTTTAAACAATTAGCACTGTTTCGAATACAAAGCATTCTTTGCGAGCCGACAGCTTACGAGATCGAGTCCGTTCGAGATTGCCGCGGAACCACTTTGAATAATACTGTGATTATCACTAAATATTATGAAGGGTGTACGTCACGGTAGTTGCGAAATGGCCGAGTCAAGCTTTTTGTTCAGGTATATATTCCCGATATAGAACAGTAGGCCGTTGCACCGAGCTCGGATCGTCGAATGTCGTGCTCTGTCACGTCATCTCGTTGTGTACGGCAACGCGCGTCATACTGGAATGCTGTTTCAACAATTCCGATGCTAAAATTTGCCGGTATTATGAGAATTCGGCTCTGACACCAACACTAAAAGCACAAATAACCACCAATGTTCATACATATGTATGTATTTATAATGCTACCATGCGCACAATTCACCCAAGAATCATATGTATTTGTGTACAAAAGCGCATAAATAAATAACATACATATGGCTATGTGTCTCATCCACATCCGATTGCCACAGCGAATACACCCTTTGTGGAACTCACGTTAAACGATGAGGCACTAAAGTATATACTTGCATACATATTAGGGGTATTTCCTTATACTCGTAAAAGCCTGGTAAAGCTCATAACTTCATGAGCTTACGAGCATCGTAAAAGAATTGTCAAAATTTGTATGAAGCTCAGTTTACGCGTGCCTCGTAAAATTTCGAGACAAATTTGATGCGTAAACTACCTTGTAAACTTCAGTGTCATCGAGAGACTGAAAATTGTATACCAAAATGTATTATAAAATATTCAAAACAAATTAAAAAAATAATAATAAGTGAATAAAATGAACAAATTTTATCCAAAAACTGTATTAACTTGGGTTTTCTGCTTATTTCCGGCATTTTTAATTATATTTTAGCTTACATTCGAGCTGACAGTCTGTAATGTAAAATATTACGAAAAAAATATTTATTCACGAAACCTTGGCTAACCTGTCAAACAGAGGGCGTAACAGTCTCGTAAAATAACGAGTTTTACACAGTTCAAGACTTTACTAGTTTAAGAGAATACCCCTAGTGTATTTATGTTTAGTACATATGAAACTACTTGTCGCAAGCGAAGGGTGCGAAAGCTTTGGCACGTGTGGAATGACATAGACAGACCACAGTGGGGCGAGTATTGCACACTGCAGTACTCCTTAGCCCTTTCCCAGCATTTGTACAATATATTGTACATTTAATTTTTTGTAACATTGGACGCGTGCTACTAAAAATCTTATTAATATTTTTGAAAACAAATTAAACTTTATGAAGCTTTGGAATGTCCCGAATAGTTTACGTGAATCTCAAAATCGAAAGCGTTTCAAAAATATTTTTAGAATTTAATTTAAAAATATACCATTTTATAAAAATCCAGTGGCACGCAAGTTGTGCTAATTTACTGTAAAAAAAATACATGAGAGTCAAATAAAATCGCTAATAAAAGCACATAGTATGGAAATATAAAAAGCTTTTCATCATATAAAAATGCTAAAGTTAAAATATCATGATTTAAAATATTTTTCCCGAGTGGTCAGAAAAAATTTACAATATATTGTACATTTACACTGAAAGGTTGTAAGTGTCTTTTACATTATATTGTACAAACGTCCGCAAAGGTTGCAGTTGAGCAGGCAATTACGGTGGTTTTTGCCGTGGTTTTTGAAGAGCTTGTGCGTTGTTGTTGCGGTAAAGGGTAGGTTGTTGATTTCTTGATCTACTGAAGGCAGAAAATCCGGGAAGGTTTAATAAAACGGGCCATTTGTATTTTATATTGTAATTGTATCTGAAATTTTTCAAAATTTCTTTATATAATTCTCTTCTCGTGGAGAAAATTTAAAATTTTTAATGCAAGTCTTAACCAAAGATACTTAAAAAGATATAAAATATTCACTCCCAACATATCTGCAGTAAAATCAATTATTTTGTACATACATAAGTTCATTTTCAATAAAAGTTCTATTCCGTCAAACTTACTGATATATTTATTGAGTTTTCTTGAGTGTTTTTACTCCTTTGCGGACTTTTGTACAATATATTGCACAAATTTGAGGTAGCCCTAATAGCTACCCAAAATATTTTTTGACTATTTTTTTTTATTTTTGGTATTATGAGGCTCTATGAACCTTGTAATTAAGAGGAAAAAATTGTATATTCATCACGGACGGATTTGACCGGAAAGGGTTAATATACATATGTATACATACGGTGACCATTCATACCGATTTTTGCGGCATAGTACCGATTTTGGGTAAATTGTCCCGCTGAATATTTTTCAAAAGTCGGGACGTAAAAGTGTCCCGATTTTTCATCTTTGTTCCGATTTAATTCCGATTTTCAAGGTTTTCTTTATTAATTTAATAGTAGTCTGGGTGAATTCTGGCCCAAAACCATTTTTCTGACAAATGTGGCAGCATTTTCGCTATCACAAAGAGATAGAATATAACGGAGCCATAAACATAGCGAGCATCTTTATTTTCTATGATATTTGGTTATATTTTATTTTGTCAAACTGGTACTCTCGCTATAAAAGTCCATCATTCTTAATTTTGTTAAAGGTTTTTTATACTTATTTTTTAAGTATGTTGTTTTTTAATCAAACGATACTAATTTGAATTTAGTGAAATTATAGAAAATAATACCAATTTCCTCAAAAAAAACATGGATATGAAAAATATATACGTGTGTATGAGTTTTTGCGATCATTTTCTAAGTTTTTTTCTCTTTGCTTTGTTTTAAACAAAACTGTGATTAAAGATGCTTTTTTGGTTAGCAGAAACGAGCGGTGCGCACGAGATTTATTAGTCTGTCAAAATAATAGAAGTTGATGGTTTGTTTAATTCCGCTTACAATTATATTTAAGTTGGGAGTTAAATTTACAACTGGACTGATGGAGTTCAGCAAGGGGTTACAAAAATGTCGTTAAATTAACAGGATGCAATATGAGCCCGAGTGGCGTTAGGGGAAAATTATATAATTACAAAGTGCGATGCGGCGAAACACTAACTGACAATTCAAAAATATAAAGAAGCGGACTCGAGCCACCCGCTTACAACTATAAAGCAACAAATTTAATTTCATTTGTTTAATAATAATAATAATAATAGATTGGCCGAGCTTCTCCTCCGATTTGTGGCGTGCGCCTTGATGTTTTCACACAAAGTGGGTGGACCTACAGTTTTACGCCGACTTCGAACGGCCATCGAATTTTTATGAGAAGCTGTTTTTCATGGCAGAAATACACTCGGAGGTTTGCCATTGCCTGCCGAGGGGCGACCGCTGTTAAGAAAAAACCTTTTTTCTAAAATTTTTTGCGAGGTTGCTTTGACCAGGGCTTGAACCCAGGCGCTGCGGAGTGGAAGCGCGCACTGCTTACCACTACACCACAGCGGCCTCTACACCATTAATGGCATAAAATAAAGTGTTGTCAGCCGACGCAGATAAAATAATAAAATCATACTACCAAATCACGTTTAGTCGTCGAAGTCGATGAGGTTAATACCCATGTCCTTAGAAGATGTTATGTATTTTTATTCTAAAAACAAAATTGTATGTTCGGATTCGATGCTATAGAAATATCCCGATTTTTGTCCACAGAAATGTGGTCACCGTCAGTGGCGGATACAGAGCTCGAAAAAGCCAAATTTCGGATAAAACAAGAAATTTAAAAAATAAAGTTTTTAAAAGCTTTTTTTTATTTTTTTTTATCTTCAATCGTAACCATTTTTTAGGCATGCACAGGATTATTTATAGAATAAGAAATCGTGTAAAACTCTTCGTCAACGTGAAAAATTAAAAAAATGGGTATGTAGATACCATGAATGTATGTATGTATGTATGTCCAATCGAACTTTCTGGTACCACTTTTTGTCTATTTCCATGTATGTAGGAAATTTCACTTTCAACTGTGTAACCAGACATTTGTATGCGCATAAAAATATTAATGATTTGAAAAATATAATACAAATCAAAAAGGAAAATTTAAAAATTAAAAGTTTACTTTTCCAAGCGCCCTCGCTTGGCTTGAATCATGCTAGCGAAGTAGTCAATGGCACTGTGAATATTCTTCGAAAGTATAGAGAAAATGCTGACACACATTTTTCTGATATACATAGGTATTTTCAAAAGTTACCGATATCGCTAAGGAATTGGATTTTGACATTGTCCTTCCTCGGAGAGCGAATAGACAAAATTATCGGGCTAATTATCGTGCTTCTAACGCTGATGATTATTATCGAAAGGCAATATTTATACCGTTATTGGATAATATTTTGCTCGATCTCCGAGAAAGATTGCCGAAAGAGATATTACAAATTTTTGATTTAAACTTATTACTTCCATCTAAAATTGGGAAATATAATACGCCTGACGAAAAAATAATGCGAAAGCGAAAAGCCATTCCCAAAATCAGCAGCAGAAGTTCTTGGTAAATGCGACGAATATGCTTTTACATTGATTAACCAACTTCTCCGCATTCTGGTCACACTTCCAGCTAGTAACGCTACTTCCGAAAGAAGTTTTTCAACCCTTCGCCGGTCAAAAACATGGTTGCGTAGTACCATGAATGAAGAAAGACTGATAGGTCTAGCACTTTTACACGTACACTTAATAATAATAATTATAGATTCGCGCGTACACATATATTAGTGTTTGGCCGAGCTTCTCCTCCGATTTGTGGCGTGCGCCTTGAGGTTGTCACACAAAGCGGAGGGACCTACAGTTTTACGCCGACTCCAAACGGCGATTGT